ACCCCCCACCCCAAAAGAGAGCCATCTTTGTCGTGGCGACAGATGTTGTAATTGCCAACTGATGGATCGTTTGTCCGAGACATTGTTAGGACTTCATTGGCCCCCACGACCCATTGGAAGGGGAGAGAAGGGGTTAAAAGAACCACGGGGGTAAAGATGGAGTGGGGGGTGGGGGGGTGGATGGGAGACGGGCTCGCATATATCAAGTCTTTTGATTGCGGCCTTGGGAGGTTAATAATGTGATTGGCCACGCGTCAGAGGAGACACTGTCCGGGATAAAAGAGTCGCCGTCCACGGCCTCGGTGTGATGGCATGACAAAGTCTCGAAGGAAGAAAAAAAAAACAAAAACAAACATTCAACGGTTTACTTGAAAGCCAAATAATGCCCGCTGACATACTTGATGAATGGGAGACACATGCACGCGCTCCCACAAGACGTTGGCAACATCACATTGGAACATTCCATTCGCAATGCAAAATGTTTAAATTGACCCTTTCAAATTCCAAAGATGATATTGGCCCTAATTAAAATAATTTCAATTTTAAAATACAGATTAGTCGACTATTTGGGAGGGCGGGGGGCGGGGTTTGGGGGAATCTGGCTCAGGAAACATTGCTGTAATTTGATCACGTTGATCAAATTTTAATCATTTTGACTACCGCATTTAGCATTGATATTTGATCTTTGGTCACTCCAATCCCGCAGGAAGATGCGGCAGCGGACCGAAACGCTAATTTGGTATTACCATTTGAAATGGGTTATTAAAAAAAAAAAGAGGATTCAAATTTAATTTAATTATTATATTATTATTATTTTTTTTTTTTTAAGAATGCTGTCCAAATTCCCAAATGTCCAGAAGAAACAAAGGTCACCGTGGTAAGCTGGTAACCTATCAAAGGATGAAACTTGAGAATTCTCGTTTCAAATGAATGCGACTGGTGTGTGTACCTGTGATAGAATTTTTATTTTTTTTTAAATTTTAATTTAGCAAGAACATATAACATTCCCTCTTTCGACAGAAATGTGCTTCGGCGCCTAAAAAAGGCCTCCGAAAAGCAGAACCTGGGGCCAACCCAAAGGTCACCGCGCTAAGCGTCCGCTCAGCGCAGTCACACACTTCACCCGAGATACATTTGTTTCTGCGTGCCACTGGATCGTGTTAGGCCCCGCCCCCCAAAGGCACACACACCAAAGGCTCCCCAGAGGTCAATTAGGCCAGACAAGGAGCCGTTCAAACAAAGGGTGCTAGAGGCCTGGAGCGGAGAAGGGAAGCACGTAATTAACAGTTATAAAGTACTTTAGTCTGTTAATTAAATTAGTTAATCCTTTTATCAGTAATGCTTTGTTGAGGGAGGGCGTCTTCTGCCACTGTCAAACATGGACTCTTTTCTCGCTCTCTCTCTCTCTCTCTCACTCTCGCTCTCTCGCTCGTCCTCTCTCTCGTGCGGGAAGCGTGACTAGCTGCTAATGGAGACATGCTAATGTGTCGTAGCCAAACACTTGAACGGTATAAAAAGACATCAGCATCATTTTTTTTTGTTTTTGCTCATCGACCCAGGTAAAACTCGCAGCGAGTTAAGCTCCTTGTCGATGTTATTTTTATTATTATTTTTTTTTTTTGCGATCGGACGTCCAAAAGAAAACGTGTGTACGGATCAAATGCCCAAGTGAGCATTTGAATTTGAGATGAATTCTGTCCAACGATCATTTTAATGTGCTGCCAAGACTCATTCCTTTGTCCTTCCTGGAACATTTGCACGCCCCCCCCAATCCCCATCCCCATCCCCTCTGCCTTTTGCCCCACCCCCCCCCCACACACACACCCCCTCCAGACATTATTTAAATGAGGCCGGCTCACCGTCACATTTATTTTACAGCGCTACTTGAAGTCTTAACAATAACACGCGTGTAATCCCGTGTGATGTCGCCTCACACGGCGCGGACGCTTTTCAGGTGTGGAACCTTTGAGTGCCAAATCTTTTTTTTTTTTTTTTCACTCCTCTTTAAAAAAAAGTGCTTCAATAATCAAGGGGGAGCCGCTGGATAGTTGGGAAACAAAGACGTCGGATTTTTGTCGAAACGTTGGCGATTAAAGTTGTTACGCTCCACGCTTGCTACACAAGCGACAAGGTGCATTCAGGGTACTTTCACAAAATCGGCAATTCGTAAACGGACTGAGCCGTTCTGCAGGTTTGTCTTCTATCGTAACGTTTTCAAGACTGAGAGAAGCCAAAATGAAAATCACAATTTAATTTCGATTAACGGTCCAGCCCTACATTGATTGATCCGAATCGTACGGCAAACCCGGCGGATCGGCGCCCGAGAGAAGGGAGGCGTATGCAATCAAACAAACATTCCAATCGCCTGGCGCGGAGCGCTTGATTTGTTTACTTGCACGAGGAAAGCGCGGCGCTGATTGCAATCACTCTCGAGCATCCGTCGCTTCGTTAAGGCCTGGCGAGGTGGTGATGATGCAGATTCGGAAGCACCTCGTGCGCCTTACGCCCGCCAATGCTGAATTGAAAGCGAATTAAGCCGGAGTTAATTAAACGCAATCCCCAACATCCTCCCTAATTTTGGCAACAAAAGACAGAACAATGAATGAAATGAAATGAAAGCCGCAAGCGGCTTAATCAATGCAAAACTACGGACGAAAAAAAAAAAAAAGAGCGCCTGGAGCGGCGTTATTGAATCTACAGTGAAGCTCCGCGTATGCCACAGAGGATACAAAAGAAAAGGAAAATTCTTTTAATTTCACTTCTATAAAAGATATTTTGCAGTCCCGTTTCATTTTCGACACGCAGTAACTAAAATTGACTTTATTGCCTCCCACTTGGCTGACATTGGCTACAGCTAACGGTTAGCCGTAGGCAAGCTAACGGTTAGCTGTAGCCAACGTTAGCTGCTAACCCGTGAGTGACCCTGAGCAGGATAAGCGTTTGAAAAGGATGAATGCAAACACATTTTACACATGTAAATGTCTATTTGTATTCACAAAAGGACACGCATCTGCTTTGGGGAGGAAAAAAAAAAAAGACATTTCCTTGCTTTTTTTACTTCTATTAAACTTAATGACTATGGGAAAATGTAGGTCCCAGGGTGAAGCCAGTTGAGAAGAACTGTCTTATTAGGTATTAAATGTGCTGTCTGTGAAATTGGATTTACCATTTTAGAAGCGTCCGACAACAATGCGACGCGCCGCTCTTAGCGCCGTAACTTGAGGCTATACGTTCCGAGTTTACAAACTCCCCCCAAGCGTGAAGAATTGCTCCCCTATAATTTCTGGCGCTCTTTGATGGGGATTTACGCTCAAATGAAAACGCATGCGAAATGAGCAGCCCTCTGAGGCCCCCACGGCGCGCAAAGATGGCATGCCGCAATAATCTTAAAAAATGTAATTAAACACAGATAAGATTAATACAATCAGGGAGAGATGATTGAAAGATGCTGTTGTCGGGCGGGAGGGTGGCGAGGGCCCCCGGGCCCCTCCGAAAAAAGGAGGCGGTTAGCTGTCGGGAAGGAGGCCCCTCTTTTTTTTTTTTTTTTTTTTTTTTTTTGGCGCTGGGATTATCCTGGGCCAGGTGGGGGAGCCTCGTGGTTGGAGCATTTAAATTAGCGCCTGGATGTCAATCCCCATTAGGAGGGATTAAAGGCCCGCTGGCAGGCAGAAATGTGCTGCCGCGGACCAGTTGGGGAGGGGTCTCGCACGACAGCCGGGGAGGTATGGCAGAAGTCAGTCACCATGTTGTCATTTGCCTCATCTCAATTGCACATTGGGGAACTATGTTGTAGTGAGTTGAGGGAGCTACCATTTTGTGACGTCTCCACAGTACGCAATTAGGAGCCCGTTTTGAGAGGTGTCAATTGCTCGCGTATGTTTGCGTTTGGCAAGCAACCCGTACCGTCAAAAGCTGTCAACGATGAACCGAGAATTGCGCAAGAACGCCGCCATCGCCTTCCACAAAGCCTTTCGATACGCATGCTTTGCTTGCTTTCCAAAATGTATCCAATCCTTCGCTACATATTATTTGCTGCTGAAGTCACATTTGAACGATTCAGGAAAACCAAAAAAAATGGAATTCCGTTGCCGCCCGTCGACGTTTATGGATTACCGCAATCCGGATGATTGAGAAATGTTACCATCGAAAGAAAGAACACCTTTTTCGCAAGCACATTGGTATCTTTGAGTGTGATGCGAAATGACTTGATGATGTGAGGCTAATGAAATTATTTTCAGAAACAGCCAATGCAAAAGAAAAAAAGAACAAAAATCAATGTTCATATATCTGTCATGGGCCCTGTTTTAAGGTAACTATGGTAACAGGGCAGCCTCGATCCTCATGACACCAGGTTCAGAAGTGAAGCTGCCCAAAGAACCAGTCACCGACGAAGTCTCTGCAGAGAGTATGTCTGCCGAGCAGGATTTTGCAAATGTTCCCCCAAAAAAGCTACGTGTAGAATTACTGGCTTATTGCCATCTGACAGCGCTACTTTTTTTTTTTTTGTCAGCAAAACAAACCAATGATCAGCAATCCAATTAAAACAATCTCTCTGAGTCTGGATGAACATAAATCTGCATGAAAATAGCCCTGCGTGATGTGGTAGGCGAATCCACCGCACGACGTGGCGCTCTGGCCCTGCACGTGGGAAACGCGTCGCTGACCGACTCAGGAAAAAGGGGGGGGGGAGATCGGCCACGCTTGCCCGCGTTCGTAAAAATTGTCCTCTCCCTCAACGGCGGAGTACAAACGTCAATTTTTACTGCCCGCTGGAGTAAAGTGGGATTCAAACATTCTTTTTTTTTTAAACCCTTGCAGGGACAGCGGTTACTACAGTGGACGTCTTATCAAGTTACAGGGTGCATGAAAGGGTTAAATATCTTCTTTTTTTG